CCCCCGCCGTGTTGTCCCGCTTTACAAATGTTAAAATCTGGTCACTCTAATCTGGGGGTCAGACCTCACATATTTCCAGGGCTCTTTAGTGGAGGGGAGGATTGGGCAGAGGCGGCTTCCATCCCCTTTGGAATCAGACACCTGCTACTCCGTGTGGGTGCAAGTATAGGGAAGCCACACCCACAGCAAACTGAGCTCCCCAGCTCCCTCTGTGCCTGAACAGAAAACCAAAAAGCAAAATGAAACAGAAAAGCACAGGGGATGGAGTTGGAAGGCGAGGATGTGAATCTCATTTCTACAGGTGTATTAGGGAGCTTCAGGAGTGTGAGGTAACCCCTCCCAACTCCGGGTTATGGCAGGAAATTAATTAGTTTAAATAGGATAATAATTATCTATAAGGAGCCCTCTGCCATGCCTAGCCCATGGCAGTCCCTCAAGGAAGGCTCACTTTTTTCTTTGTGTTCAGGGAGGAACAAAATGAAGGGCCTAGAGAAATAAAAGAATCAATCCCCACAATGCAGCCTCACTGCTGGAGACAGGCAGCATCTTCCGCAGTCACAGCGGCACCCTTATTACTAAAACACTTGGATTCCCAAGGAAACATAATGAGTTACTATCTTAATTGAATAAAAGCAGCCAGTGTAGTGAGGAAGGGACAGGCCTTCACCCAGGGTCTCCTCAGGGGACAACGTACTTTCAATGCTTAGGTGTTCCACCCACCTTCACTGTTATATTCACACACCTTCACCATATGCCTAAATGTAATGTCAAATCAAACCTAAATTTAAAAAAGCAAAGTAACAACAACAAAAAATTGCTGGTTGAAATTGAGAAATAGCACAGGACAGGCAAAAGTCAAGACTACTTGTGTTCTGAGTCTCAGCTTAAGCACTTACCGATGGCCTTTGGCAGGTCCCCACTCTTGGCAGACCTCACTCAGCAACAAAACGAGGAGGCTGGGCCAGATGGGCTCTGAGTGACACCTGTATGTGGCATCATGATGCATGCCTTGTGATCAGTCTTCTTTTTGGACATTTTCTTGACCAGCTAATGGGCAAAAAATAGAGTAAAGGAATGATCCATGGCAGATCTGATAATCCACCCTGCCAGTCTCATATTTCTGTCAAGCATACCTCAAATTATTCTTCTAAACACAAGTAAGACTCTGGACGCCTTCTAAAAGAGGTGAATTAATAGGCTCCATGAGCAGATTTATGGTTAGGTTGACACTTCATAGTAATTTCTAACATCTCTTAGGCTCTTAAGTTCTAGCAATCACGGCTTCCTAGCTGCAGACAATGACATCTACTCCACACAGTTTAAGCAGAAAAGCTTTATAATCCCTCAAAGAGCCAGAGACCAAGATTCAGTGCCTTCCAAGAATCCTCATACCGAATTATGCCCAGGCACTGACTAGTAGAGACTCTGCTGGTATTGGCACCCATCACCAGAGACCAAACTCTGTGATCCCACAAGACCAAATATCCCTGCTACTGTGCCTGCCAAATCTTACCTACTCACCAAAGACTTGCCCTCATAAGACTGT